GCACAGGTCAAATTGTTGTTAACAACTAAACAAAAATGTTTGTAAAAGTTGTCCAATCAAAAGGAAAAGAACAGGATTGACAGAATTTTGAAATCTAAAGAAATTAGTTGCCAAGTTGGACTTTGCTAGTGGATGACAGGTTTGGTATACAAGAATGAGGAGAACAATTTTCAAAAGACATCAAAAGACATGATCTGGTGTAGCAGAGAGAAAAAGAAAAAAGAGGTGTCTGCTGGAAAGCTGGGACTAACTATTGCTGCATGTGACGTATTATAAAAGATTCCATATCGCATATTCTGAGTCAGTTAGCCAATGCAAAAGTTTCATTTTATTCGGCATATTGGTTGTTTGTCAATGTTTGTTGTATGTTGATTTTAGTTTGATTGAAAGTGAAAGTCTTAAAAAAATGAAATCTTGCCCTGTCATTTATTTCATCAGCTGGTAGGAAATGCACCTTTGTTAAAAAAAATTTCTGTGCTGTGGAATCAAAAGAGGATGTTTCTGTACACCTCTTAGCTCTGGTTTTATATAACAGTGGAAACCCAGGAATGGGTCACCAGTTTTTTTTCTCAATCATAGGTGACCACGAAGGTCAGTAGCCAAACTTTTTTGTCCATATAAACTATGGCCATAATGCCAGCTAAGGTTGTTTTGCTTAGCACAGAGGAGACTGAGGAGTGACTTAATTGCACGTAAAAAAATTATGAGGGGCCTACTTACAGTAGTACAGGCAAAACATGCTTCCCACAGGAAAGGGGTTAATTATCAGGGGACTGATGTAAGGATTAGAAGGGACATGACAAGGAATCTTTTCACACAGAGGGTAATGGGTGTCTGGAACTTGGTGCCGGAAGCAAAAACTTAAGCTGGTTTTAAAAAGGTACTGGCATCTCCACCTAAAGTGTTGTAGCCTGAAGGGCAAAAGACCAGATGTTGGATTAGTAGGTGTGATTAGAATGGGCAACTAGTCTTTATCCCCAAAGCCAGCAGACATGATAGGCTGAGGGGCCTCTTTTGGGCAATAACATTTCTACTGTATCTATGGTCCAAATGGACCCAGCAAATAAATTCATAAACCCTGGGTTAGAAAAGAAAAAATTCTGTCAAGCTCCTGTTCCTCAAATGTTTAGGTCAATTCTTACCGGCAGAAATTAATGCAGCTGAGGAGAGCATTGCGTACAACAATACCCACAGAGTAATTTGCTACAAAGGCTTGAATGAATGCAGTTATAACCTGGTTAGAATGTCAACATTTTCAGAAGGTGAGGGGTGTAAAGGAAATTAGTGTAAAATGGAGACAGATGGAAAAGAAATACAAGTATCTCAAGTGTAAATAATCTACACATTTTTTATAAATACTGCCATTTCTAAAGATAACAATGTTTACTGTATGCCCATAATGAAAATAAATAAAAGACATTTCTTATTTACTTTGTAAATGAGCAAGTCCACTCTAGCTTGTCTGAACAGCAGTAGCACATCCCTGCACTCCTTCATATTCATGGTTTTAATCTCTATCTGCCCAGAAGTCCACTGAAGTGTTGGCCACAGTGTATCAGGAATTGAGTGATGTTAGTCTTAATTTCCAATTTGCTAAAAGTTTAATTTGAGGTAATATTTCAGCTTTACCTGTTCCACACACTAGACCATCACACAAACCCCGTAGGTCCTTTTGTTCCCTCATTTGAAAGCTGAAAATTCACAATATTTTCTATTCTTTCCTCATAACAGTTTCCAGTTGTCAATAATCTATCCAGCGGTTCATCCTTACACTGACACCAGGGTCTGAACAAGCCTCCTGCGTCTTGCAGTAAGAACCAGACAATATTGGAAGTCTGGTCAGATTAAGGAAGCTGATCTATGAAATTGCTCAGAAATAAAATCAGAAAGCTGTGTACTCACTATGTTATGTATTGTACACTATTCCTGTGCCTATGCGTCTATTCCTATGAAGGATATTTGACAATTCACTAATTCACATTTCATTGCACTGTGAATCTTCAAAGTCAAAAAAATGTATTGCAGCCCAGGAAAGCAAGGACCAACAAGTGATGAAAGGTCCCAATCAATGTTCAGTCGGGTCTGTCAGGTTTGGAATATTATCACAAAAATCACATTAAAATTTCCTCAATCAAGAGAACGGTGATCAAAATGGCACATTCAGACCAGTCACGATAACTACTGGCCAATTAGTAATTGGCATAATTAATAGTTCAAACTGTCACGAGCCAATTCATAATAAAGGTAATTGAAAAAAATTAACAACGGTTTCTGGATTCAACCGAGCAACAACCACAAGTGAACTTTCTGCACCTGACATCAGATATCATTTTGCCCAGGTGTCAAAAGAAGCTTCCAGTGTTTGAGAGAACATTTAATTCAAATAAATAATTTGTAGGATCACATGTATTAAGTTTGTAAGTCACGCTGTAACTGCACATTTGTGTGCTGGTAGATTCCTGTAAATCAATGGCTATTTCTAGCCAATTGAAAATGCTCAAATTGAAACTTTTCGAAAAAGATTAGCATATGCCAAAAGATATTTAAAAATGGAATTAACACTAGGAACTCGTGTTGATAATAAATACTACCCTGATGTCGTCCCAGGTATCATTTCTTTTAAAAAAAAAGCCTTTACAGAATTAAAAAAAACTAATTAAAACTCAAATCAAAGGAGCTGCTTCACATGATGTGTGGAAAAAGCAGAAAATAAGATAATACCTCTGCTTCCTAGCACTGATAATGCTCACATGAAGTCAATCAAAAAAGTGCTTCCATTGTTTTTAAAAGACTCAAAATTAACCTTTAAAAATGGAGTGTATGCTAGAACATGAATGCACTTCTAGAAAATTCCAGATTTAACACTTTATTTGCTGTGTGTTAATTAATCCCAACCAATAGCAGCACAGGTTTTGGTTCCATGGGCTTGGAAGCTTGGGGAAAAATAAAATGAAATCAGAGTGAAGCTCTATTTGAGTCACTATCTGTTAACCATTACTAGAGATTGCACACATGTCTAACGCAGTGCAGTCTGATGCTGTCATCAGCCAGTGTGCTTAAAGGCCAGCTTGAAACACTTATCTGAGCAAATGGTTTTTCAGCTAACATATTGGTACCAGTGGACTGTACCCAGCACAAGACACCAACTGCAGAGTGGGAGGGCATAGAAAGATAAAATTGAGGGGCAGTGGGATAAAATGGGGAGGAAGAGAAAACACTAAAACTGGAAGATACATACCTGGGACACATCTATATGTAAGTACTTACCATACGGGAGTACTTACTATAATTACCTTCTTTAAAACAGAAGTTGTTTGGAGACTGGAGTTATCCTTTAAGCAGCAATTCCAGGAACCCAGAAAGAAGAAAAAAATGCCGCATTGCCAAAAATTATTATACACACAAAAGTTGAGTATAAATGATTTTTGTCATTTGACTAATTTCTTTTGAAAATATTATATTTGCATACAATTACTCTTGGGCACCTGTTCTGAAAGTCACCCACAGGCCTCACTTCTAACCAACACCTTTGGAAAATTGATTATATTCCCACCCAACAGTTTTATAAAAAGTCTGAACAAGTACTGTAAAATAAGACCAATGATGCAATTTTCAAAGCTTTCTCATAAGTCAATGAACGGCAAACTGAAATGAGCGTCTCGGATATGCCCCTAATTACAGCCAACTGTTCCTCTGCATGTCTTAACTGTTGTGCAATTACTGTGAACTACTAGTTATAAAATAGGTAGCTCTGTGCAGCAGAGCAAAGCATGGTGACACTCCTGTGCACAATTCCACAATACACACAGGACGCCTGCTCAACTGTGGCACTTAAAATTCTGTGTGTGAGTCAGCCAAAAAAAAAGTTGTTACTAGATTGTTCTCAAATAACTGCCAGTTGAAAGAAGCACTGACAAAGACAGTGGGAGCTCAACTCTAACTGTTGCAGGTTTATAGCCAGAACAAGAGAAAAATCATCGGACAAGACACCAATCACAGGCAATAAACATTTTTCTTTAGAAAAGATCTATTCATTTGATAAGCCTTATGACAGCTTAAACGCAGGTCACCTTATAATAATGTATATGTGGAACTCTTCACCATTACAAACCACCAGCCCCCAGCCCTCACCCCCCAAACAACCCGATAAACTCCAGATTTATGTTATGGTGTCAGAGATCATAAGGTTCTAGATGTGGGAGCGCTGAGAGATCTAGAGTATCCTGCTCCTAATGTTTGTCCAGTGACTCCTGAATAAATATGGATGCAGGACAAAGGTAACGTTAAAACTTTGCTGTGGTGATCAGCACAGGTTTTTGACTCCTGCATACACAAGGAAGGGGTAATGGGCAAAACATGAAAGGGTAAGAACACAAAATTAAAATCAGTGAAACTGTAGTACTGACACAGTTTTAAAACTGATCTTGAATTGCAGAATTAAACATGCAGCATCATTGAGCCTTAAAGACCATGCAGATCCCAGCTCTCATCTCTGAATCTGCATGGAGTTTACTGACTGTGGTTAGCTCCTAGGACTAGGACAAAAGAAAGCAAAGGTCTTCTGCTTGATGTCTGTATAGAAAGCATTTACTAGCAGGTTCATGTCAGGTAAGGACAGGATTTATAACAAACAAATTTGAGTCAAGCTTTCACCTAACAAACTTGCTCACATAGAAAGGTTGTATTTTTCTATAATAGGCTGCTGTCTGTGCAATATAAGTGAACTGAACTATAAATCTAGACATCATGAAAAGTGCCCTTTCACCAAAACACTGTGCAGTTTCTTAGCTCAAACTGCACTTCACAAAAATCACAAGTGATAGCATTCCACGTTAACCCACCTGTAGCCTTTGCCCTGGATTTTTGAGATCCTTTCCCTTTGTGGCCTTAGTTCTTCCCTCCTGTCACTTTTTCATCGGAGTTCTCAGGCACCACTACTAATTTCAATCTCTTCATCATAACCCATTTTCTCCCAAGCTTAAACAGGAGATGCAACTTACCTTCAGCTGCTTTCCTAGGCTTTTTGGGAATCCGTTTCTCTTTCTTCTCTGCTTTAGTCTTTTTTCCTTTTTTGCCCTTTTTCTTTGAAGCTTCATAATCACTGTCACCATGGTCGAAATCTTCCTCACTACCCATGTCTTCATCTGAAATTAAATTATAGAACATTCTCATGAAAAGTAAACGGAACTGCTAATGACTTCATAAAATATATCTACAGGCACATCATGCCAGACTGGCAGAAAACACCTCATCAAGTAATCCTCATATAGAAACTAAGGCAATACCTAAGTAGGTGGAGTACAGGAAGGTAAAAGTAGCAGCAAATAATTATAGAACTCATTCTGTCCTGCAGCTACAGATCCACCAAATACATGTGACTGGAACAATTTAATAATGTCAATTGCAATGGCAGACATTAATTACTTTAAACGAATTCTAAATTAGAACATATCTGGCCAATTGACTTGCATCTATATGAACTGAAATTAGATCTTTACTTGGCGACTGGAAAGTGAAATACTACACCCCAATGATGGCGACATTTCAACACACCCTTTCTGAAACCTCTATCCTGTGCTGCCAACAGGAACGAATCAAGAAGGGAAAGTAGATCCCTGTGCTATTTACTGACCATTACGTGATTCAAAGATACACTACTACTACTTGTCAGTTCAAAATCACGTTATATTGTTCATGCACTGGGCAAATTGCAAGATCCATCCTCACTCAAGGCTTGAAAATAGTTTGAGAAACACACAAAACAAAAGAAGAATAAGTACCCACAGACACAATTAATCATCCACAAAGATAAAGTTGAGATGTCGATTGAGATGTAAAAAGAAAAGCAATGAAGGTGTGTGAGAAAAGAGTTAAACTATTAACATGGAAACACTGCCTCTGAAATGTTCCTTTACTTGACTCCAAAATTTAAAATTCACTTCCACGATTTGACGTGCATCTTGAAACAAAAAAATTACAGCAAATTGTTGTTAAAGTTTACTCTGCTTGAATTTCAAAGAGAGAAGCACGAATTTACGCCTCGTAAATTCAAGAAAGGAGTCACCCAGCTTAAACTTATCACTACATTTTGGCATAAAAATGTTTTGCAAAAGTTATGTCCTCAAGATTTCACCTAAGTCTGCATTCCCCCACTGCTAAACTTCTACAAACTAGAAATTACCACCCTGTAATTCGGTTTCTGTTGGATGTCAGCCACTTTATTAGAGTAAGGATTTTTTCAACAATTTCTAATGCCAGATGAAAGCATCACACCTTGTTTAAGTTACTGTCAATTTCTTTGCTTTTTAAAAAATTATTTTTCTTCCAAGTTTCTTCAGCCTGTTTATTATAAACCAGCAGCTAAGGCTGACTGTATACCTTAGTGGGGAGGAAAACGTTGTTCCATTATTTGAACAGGAGTGTTCCATAAGCCAAAGACTTTATACTACAAAGTCACATCATCAGCTGATTAAATTTTGAACAATATGTAGGCAAGTTTGCTTCCAGGAACAATCAAAAACCTGGAATTGCAGAGCTATGAGACATACAGCTACACTTACATTAAGTTGCTTCCTTCGGTCTGACTTTTAACCTGTACCATACAGTTTAATGTAAACCCACCAGGTGAATGGGATGCCTCCTTCTTGGACAGGGCAATGGCAGCCTTCAGGTCCTTCTCATACAGCTTGTCGTCTGATTCCTCACTGCCAAATAAATGAAAATACATATTACGAGGCTTACGTAGAGATTTCACTGATAATTATGAATAGCTACACTTCCCGCCTTCAACTCTGATATTGAAGTATTGTGCCAACAAATCCTTAACGCACCCATGAAAAAAAGTTCCATGCTGCAAATAAAATTAATTCTGGTTAATGACATCCACCTATTCAACATATAGTTTTGTTTTTGGCCATTAAAAGGTCTAGGGAGGACAAGCTATGTATCAGCCAAGATCTGGCTTGCTGGAGACAAATACAGGTATGTGTCTCAGAGCAGAATCAACACGTTTACCAACAGCACTTCTGTCCTATAGCAAGAAATCACAAACTACGGTTTAGCACTTTCTACTTCTGAAACTAAATTGAAGCCAGTATTCTACACCAAGCCACGCAGCCACACAAATCAATCCCTTAGAAATTAACAAATGCAAAAGGTTACGCAAAAACTTGGACACTGAAGGAGTTGTAACAAATATTACCTTTCATCTCGTGCGTTTTTTGCAGGCTTTCGTTTGTTTTTGCCTTCTCTGGGGGATGCTCGTGCTCTCTTAGCAGGAGGGGGTGAATCTCTTCCATACGCTTCATCTGCAAATAGAGATTCTGATTAATTCTCTACTTTTCCAACTCTCTACATCTACGATGACAAACAGAATGACACAATTTACCAAACTGGGAAAGAAGGCAAAATTCCTATTAGACAAGAACATGACAGAACATCCAGAAAGCAAGTGTATTCCAACAGAGCTTCAAATCCAATTATTTGCTACCCAAAACAGTTATGACTATGCTACAGAACCAAATATAGTAAAGATGATATATAATACGTGTATAAAAATGTAGCATTTTAGAAATTTTTGCAAGCTGCAATAAACTATCAAAAGGCTGCACATCACATAACTATATGATAAAGAAAATGAGTTATTTGCTATATTGACAAGATCCTGGTCTTGGAAATTTCAAATGTCTAATGCAGCGTGGAGGTAAAAATTGCTACAAATCGATGTTAGTCTTACAGGAATTGCTGGCTACATGGAATTCAAGAAAACACTCAAATTATCAGAAAAATACAAAAAAGTGAATAAGAATGAGAAGATATGAAACAAAAATAATTTAAGGAAGGAGAGAAACAAGTGGGCAAAAGATAGCAAACGGAATAAAGTTGCCAGAAAATTCAAAACTGGGTTGAATCAAAAATGATTAGTTTATAGTAATCCATCATGTGAACAAATCAAACCACAGTAAGAAGAATGCAAAATCACTCCAAGGATGGTTTAATTTTTATGACCCTATTGCTATTTAATAAAATGGGTTACAATTACAAGCAAGGATTAATAATTTGTTAGCCTGGATGCTGTTGACATCTTGATCAATTTTCACTTTTGAAAAATTATTCTTCCCTTAATGGTACCAAATGATACTAGGGTATCATTTCACAGTGTGCAAAACTCTTTGTAAACTCAATGATGACATCCTGCCCTTACATGACCCACATATACACACACACACACACACACACACACACAAAGGTAATAGGATACTAATCAGAACCAAGAATCCAGGGCAATATTGCCGTCCTTATTCATGGACTGGCAGTGAACTACTGTCTCTTTCAGCACAACTTGGTAGAGATCAACGTAACTCAGCAAAATTCAAATTGAGAATCTGACAAATGAATAACTGCACCCACCTGAATTTTTGCAGTGGGAACAAGGAGATTAACTGCAGTCACCTTTATGGAGCAAGTCAAACAGCAAGTTTAAGTGTAAGCAGAAAATGCCGGTTATACTCAGCAGATCAGTCAGCATACATGGAGAAAGCAGAATTAACTTTTCAGATTGATGACCCTTCAGCAGAGTCAGTTCTGATGAGGGGGCAGGAGGAAGCAACTTTACGTGCCAACTGTTTCTCTCCATAGATGTGGCCTGCCCAGAATACTTTTGGCATATTTTGCTTTGATTGTCAGTTTCCAGCAGTGTCTGTATTTTCTTTCTGACGGTGTTGTAGTAATTTCTCATGTCTGCATGCACACAGTAAAATTTCCAGAAGCTGTCCAATTCATCTGCTTTGTAAATGCAGAATTAAAGCACATGTAGAATGCAAAGATATTTGGTATATCCATTGTGCTTGCAACAAGTTAGGGCAGGTACAAATGACATTTTGCAATTGCATTTTTTAAATTACGAAACAACCTCAGAAGATGAAAATTAAATTTTACAATTGTGCAGGCTCGTTGTTTCAGAATCTAATTAACAAGATTTTTAAAAAAGGTTTTTTTTAATGTTTCTGTCTCCCCCTTTCTCATTTATTTTTTATATAAATGGTTTTGGTGACATAAATTTTGGTTAGTCTTAAGACCTCCTGGTTTTGACTCTGCATGTAAGGTGAAGATTCTTGCCTGTTCTCTATCTCTTCTGGGAGAGTTCTGTGTTGAATTTACTGCTCTGGAAAGAATCTCTAAAAATTTTAAGACATCACTCAAAAGCCCACAAAAAAGTCTGTGGGCAGCCGTAAGGACAATGAACAATAATTCTGTGCCAGTGACTGCAATATCTAGGCCCCTTATGTACCACTGTAATGAGCCACTTGTGCAGCTTACAATTAAAAATTGGAATGAAACACAAGATAACAAAAAATGTTTCAGATGTGAAAATCCATCCAAGGCCTAAAGTGTATCGCTGCTTTGAATCAGTTTTGCACTGGAACATTCAATATCACATGAAAAAAAACTTACCAGAAGAAATTTAGTTGCATTGCACCAATCAAGCTGGATAATAATAAAGTAGATCAAAATAAGCACACGTCTTATCTGAACAGAAATTTTCAAACATATCTCACAACTCAAAACCACCACGTAGATCAGTCCTACATTTCATTTTATACAAATAAACATCTTCAACTTGGCTAGTAAAATGTTAAACTGAACAAATGGGTTTGTTTAGACCATTACCAATCCCGTCTTGTCAACGTAAATTTGAACAGGTTTGCCATTAACCTGTTCATTCTACTTAGCCTGATTGCACTTCATTGAAATCTAGTAAACTAGGATCACCACACTGCAGAGACTGCTCAACAAATGCACGTGGAACAATTATGATCATAATAGGCTGAGAAGACCCTAAAATAAGTAAGGTGTCATAGGATTACCACTAGCTATAAAGACTGCAGTCATTGAATACAAAAGATCCACGGTACTACTGTCACTACCATCAGATAGGTTAAAGCCATACAATCTTGAGCGCATTAGTGTCTGATGTCTAAATGTTTAGTGACTAAAGTATAACATTTCAGCACAGTAGTAAAGGAGTATTGTCCTGCGCTATTTTTTCAGATAAACTATTTGGGAGTTAAGCAAATAAAAAGCCCCAATTTTCGTTGGACCTCAACCTTTGTTTGTCTGTAGACCTGTTTTCTATTCCTCAAGTTTTCATAAGGCTTTTATTGTCTTGTTTCATTTTGCCGTTGGGATGTGAGCATCACTGGCCGGCCAGCATTTACTGTCCATTTGTAGTTACCCTTGAGGTGGTGGTGGTGAGCTGCAGTCCATGTGCTGTAAGTAACCTCAATGCCCTTAGAGAGGGAATTCAGGATTCTGACTGAGCAATATTGAAGGAATGGCAATTATTTCCGGGTCAGGATGGTGAGTGACTTGGAGGGTAACTTACAGGTGGGACACAGCCCTTGACCTTCTAGGTGGAAGTGGTCATGGGTTTGGAAAGTGCTTTGAAGGATCTTTGGTGAATTTCTGTAATGCATCTTGGAGATAGTACATACTGCTGCGATAGAGCATCAAATGGAGTGGATGCGTGCCAATCAAGTGGGCTGCTTTGTCCTGAATATGTCAAACTTCTTGAGTGTTGTTAGACCTGCACTCATCCAGGCAATTATTCCATCACACTCCTGATTTGTGCGTTGTAGTTAGTGGGCAGCCTTTGAGGAGTCAGGAGGTGACAGTGTTCAAGAACACTCTGCACTTGCAATTTAGCAGCTCCTGGATCTCCTGGCCATTCTCACTGTAGGTTTTTCTATCTGGAAACTTAAGACTGGTACAAACCACAGGTGTGGTTTACGATAGTTTTAAGGGCAGACAAGCCACTGTAGTCCCTCTTCATTCAGCAACACTAAGTTAGCTGTCAGGCACTGAATGAGAAGGTCTTTACAGGGTCTCAACTCTAATCACATTACCAGTCCGAAGAAGATAAGCAACGGTTTGTCTCATAGTCATCAGTTTTGGTGTTGACTTGGGTGGCTGACATTCTTGCAATCCTTTGATCAAACAATGACAGATTTACATTTCCAAGAATAAGACTGATTGCAGGAAAAATACAGTAGTGGTTTTACTGGTAGTTAATAGATGCAAAATATTACATGGGCTGTTTGGTGATGGGGGAACAGAAAAATGCTCAGGTTGTGCATAAGAGCACTTCAGGATATAGAAAGAGAAAGAAAAAGAAAAAAAAACCGAGAATACCGATTGCAGTAACTACGAAAGGTCACTGCAGGAATTCTCCACAGTCTCCTCCCAATGGCTGAAGAGCTCCTTCTGAAATCTTAATGTGGATTTCATCCATTAAGAGGCACAGTGGAGGTTTTAACAGTAAGACAAATTCAAGACCAAACAAACAGCAGTAGCAACCTCTATATATGGTCTTCTTCAACTCCAAAAAAAAAGCTCTAGACTCTCAACTGGGAGGGATTATGAACAATCCCCTTAAATCTGTCACCATTCTCCACATGCTGCATAATAACATGCAAGCTGTGAACCTCATAACAACCAACTCATTGTCTATAAGTCTGCAATGTAGAATTATAGAAGCTCTACAGTGTGGAAGCAGGCCGTTTGGCCACTGAGTCCACAGTGAACCTCTGAACCCAGACACCCCTCCCCCCCAAGTAACTCTGCATTTCCAACAGCTTACCCACCTAGCCTGTGCATCCCTGGACACTATGGGCAATTTAGCATGGCCAATCCACCTGAACTGTACATCTCTGGACGGTGGGAGGAAACCGGAAGCCCCAGAGGAAACTCACGCAGACATGAAAAGAACATGCAAGCTCCACACAGTCACCCGAGGGTGGAATCGAACCTGGGCCCCTGGTGGTCTGAGGCAGCAGTGCTAACCACTGAGCCACCATGCCACCCATATATGTGTATCAGAGAGGCAGTCAATTTACAGCAGACACCACAAATCCTTGAGAGATCAGCAATGCCTTCACAAAATCCTGCAAATTCAGTGGTATGATAAATGCTCCAACATCAGTGTTCCTTCTCAGGTCAACATCCCTCGTACAGAAGCACTGTTATTGTCAATCAGCTCCGCTGGGCAGGCCACATCTTCTGTGTGTCTGATATCAGACTTTGAAAACAGTTCCGCACTTTGAGCTTTGTCCCAGCGGGCGGTTAACAAGAGGGTGGAGAAACGGCTTCAAGGGCAATCTTAAGGTCTTCCTGAAAAAGCGCAACATCACCGTTGTTTCACAGGAATTTCTCCCCCAAGATTACTCAAACTGAAGAAGCTTCAATGAAGCTGCCACTCGTCGTGAGCATATCCAACAGGCACAGGTGGAGGCTGAATACAAAGAGCAATAGTGTGCAAAAATCCAAGCACCCCACCCACCCACCTTTTCAAACACCGGTTGCCCCACTTTTGGCTAGGTGTGCACATCCAGCTTTTAATGTTTGTCACTTCAGGATCCACAACACGACTGGAAGAAAATCATCAATCTGGAAAGGCTGCCTAGAAAATCAAAGATCATGCCACCCTTCAGGGAACAGCAGGAGAATTCTTCGCATAGCATGATCAATATCTAAAGCTCAATGAACAACACTCAAAGTATTTATCCTTTAGATGTTTTTTGTACATTGCAATAGTGGTAATGCCCAGTTCTTCAAAACATCCAGCAGATGCAATCAGCTTATATAAATGCCCGATTAAACTGATGCTTATAATAAATGACATGGGAATTGCACACTGCAGAATTTTAAACTGCTCTTCCAGAATTTGTCAACTTGAGTTTGTGGTAAAGATGAACAGAAACTTCTTGCCTCACCACAAAAATTATGAGCACATTACTGCTTTTTTAAAACCTATGCTTTACTCAATTACTACAAGATCAACCCATCATTGCACGAATTTGCATTCTTAAACCTTCAATTGCCAACATTTAAGCTAATTTAAAAATTCTTCTTTTCAGAAATATCTGCTAAAACTCCAATGTGGGCCATTTTTGACATTGGCTGTGGAGTGTAAAAGTTATGAAATACAAACCAGACAGCGTCAGATTTGACTCTGTATTTGTGCTTAATTTTAGCAGGAGGGTGACACGATGGCTCAATGATTAGCACTGCTGCCTCACAGCTCCAAGGACCCAGGTTCAAATCCAGTTTTGGGCAACTCTCTGTGTGAAGTTGGCACATCCTGCACGCGTCTGCGTGAGTTTCCTCCCACAATCCAAAGATGTGCAGGTTAGGTGGACTGGCCATGCCACATTGCCCCATAGTGTTCAAGGATGTGGAGATTATAGGTGGGTTATAGAGGGACGGGTCGGTGTGAACTTGTTGGGCCGAAGGGCCTGTTTCCACATTGTAGGGATTCTATGGTCTTCTATGATCTGATGTCTGACCTGGAAAAACATAAATAGACCGGGGAATTTTGTGCTTACCCGTGACAGTTCAAATCAAGTTTGTCTTGTCCACAAGACCTTATTCCTCCTAAATTGCTGTCCATTCAACTTTTCCTCCAGGCCCTATTACAGGATAGACATCTATTTTCTGTTCTAACATGCAGTTCCGTTCACGTTCAAATCCACGATTAATCACTATTCTTCTCATAAACCCCATTTTTGACAAATAACTGCAAGCTTACATTTCATCTTCAACCTCTTTAAAAACTTACAAAAAGTTTCTGAAGATATTTTTCGTTCCCAAATTCATCACATTATTCCTGAAACTCTGCGGCTGAATCCCTCAAATCAGATTTTAAATTCTGTTATTTTGATCTTAAAGTTACAAAAGATATCTTATGTGTGACTATGGTAAACTACTCCTCCAGATTCTTCTCAAATTTTCTGCAGCCATCATCCTCACTTAATGCCCCTTCTCCTTCATCCAGATGAAAAGGGCTGTCCTCACCCAATTCCATTGTTCTCTGACTAAAATTGGAGGGATAACAATCTACAATGGCTTCTCTTCTCATGCCTACACGATTGCTCTGGCATTCTCCAAGAATCTATGCTTGGCCCAATGCCATTTCTCATTGCACGCCGACCCTTAACAGCATCAAAAACAGAATATCAGTTTCCACACATATGGTGACAACATCCACCACAACTTTAACACCATCTTTCTCTATTGTCTAATATACCATAGGTTTTATTTGATTTCAAGAACTGGATTAGCATAAACATACCAACTAAATATCAGGGAAACCAAAGCCACGATTGTTGAACCCACTTCAAACTAGGTTTC